TAGTTCCATCTCACAAGCTCGAAATTTCCGTATGAGAAACGAAGAACGCATCGCAGTAGCCAGTCCTGCTAGAGTGTATGCACTCACGGAAATCTTAAAGAAGCGAATGAATCGCAAAAATCACAGCATTTCCCTCCTCATAGACAAAGGTAGGCTATGTACTAATTCCACAGACATGTGTGAATTATTTAACTCAACTTTTGCAGGTAACTACCTTAAGCCCACAGTCCAGTTACTCAATATACACCCTGCTTCTAATGTGGCACAAACTCCATCTCCACACACACCAAACTTAATTAGTACTGTTGAATTTAACTATACTAACATTAAACAAACTATAAGAACCCTAAAATGCTCAAAAGGTTTCGGTACTGACGGCATATCATCCTATTTTTATAAATATGGTGGCCCTGACATTCCCCTACTACTACTTAAAATATTCACAATGTCCTTAGAAACCCAAACCTACCCTGATGTGTGGAAAACAACGTTTATTATGCCTAAACACAAATCTGGCTCGAAAACAGACGTCAGTAACTACAGGCCAATTAATATCACACCTATAGCTTCTAGAATTATGGAGAGACTAGTTAAAGACAACCTAATGAAGCATATGCTTAGTTGCAACATTATAAGTCCGAACCAACATGGATTCCCAAAATCCAGATCTTGTTTAACATGCCACTTAGACTTCTTTTACTTTGTGACCAGCAGTCGTGACAGACGACAACTAGTACTTGTCATCTGCTTTGACATCTCAAAGGCATTTGACCGTGTCGACCATTTACTACTAATGCATAAGCTGAAATCCTTAGGAATACGTGACCCACTATTAGGATGGCTTAAATCATTCCTTAACAATAGGTCCCAAATAGTTAAACTCGGATCTATAACTTCGAAACCTAGCCCAATCACTTCTGGTGTATAAATAAATAAATAATAGTATATTCTCGTTTTGTACATGAGGGACGCCAGTTTACAGGCATCATCAATATGATAAATTACATATACGATCAGTAAACATATTTAATAATAGTAATTTAATAAAATACATTTTTTCCTACCTGTGTAGGACACACCAATTGTACAGGCATGGATAAGTATTATTTAAATTACATAAATTTGGTTCATGGTAAAATTATAAGGTTGCAGTCATTTTGTCTATGGGAACAATATGATAACTAGTCATTCAATGGAGCACATCAAGAAATATAGAAATATTGTCTTCGCATTAACAAAAAAACCCAAGTATGTTTTGGATGGATTACAAATACTTGGGAAAAAAATAAAGCTTGAAGTAATTCCTCCATATAACTTTGGTGTGTACGGCATCGAGTCTTATTCTTGATAATAATTTAAAATAAGTAATCCACTTGTATACTTTTGTCAGCATTTTCTTCGTAACATCACAAGTGAATAGTACTCAAGGTAGACTAATAATAATGGTAGCTTAAATTTTCTTATAAACGGGTGTTTTCAAGAAATGCAAGCTATTTTGCAGACAAGATCAGTTATGTTATAAGTTACATTCGTGAATTAGTACAAGGTAGTGTCTTTGGACCCCTTCTATTTACTCTATACGATAGCGACATATGCGCTTGCTTCTCTCATGGGAAACCATTCATCTTTGCAGATGACCTCAAAGTAGCTTATACATTCCAATTTGATGACCTAGGGTACTTCCAGAATGTTGTACAAAAAGAACTAGATAAAGTGACTGCTTGGTCGTCTTTATGGAACCTCCAATTTAACCTTAAAAAATGTGGCTGGATCTGCTTCGGTGCACCCTCAGTCGACATGAAGTTAACGCTTCAATCGGCTAACCTAACCAAACTCCAAAGTGTCGTTGACCTAGGTCTGAGGTACTCGAGTAACCTAACATTCTCTGAGCAAGTGGCATCACAGACTCAAAAGTCGAGGATGCTCTTAGGATGCATACTCAGAACTTTCACGACAATGAAGCAAAGCTCATTCTGTACAAAACCTGTGTGAGGCCACTACTAGAATACTGTCCATTTATCATTAGCAGCACTCACACACGTGAAAAGCTAAGAATTGAAAGTATCCAACGATATTTAACCCCGAAACTACTAGGCTACGAATGTAAGAAAGACTACATCTCACGGTGCATGATTCTACAACTTGACCCACTCTGGACAAGACGACTAATTATAAACCTAGTATTATTCTATAAGGTCCTACACAAAATATCATTCTCAGACATTAAGGACATACAATTCGCACAAGAAGGCTCTTACGATCTGCGTGACCAAAATTGCACAGTGACAATAAAAGCCTTTAAGTCAACACTCCGCGAAAACTTCTTCACAGTCATGTATTCTAAAATATGGAACAATCTGCCCCTAGATGTCAGGAACTGCAATACGGTTTTAAGTTTCAAACGCTCTCTGTACACACTATTTCACTCTACCGACTATATAAATAAACTATTTATTCCTAGAACGAATCAACTATTAGTCTACTACAGTACCTAAACGCGATTAAATACCCTTACTTCTCTAAAGTTTATAAATAAACTAGTAGCATAAATGCATAAAAAGACATAGTAGAAACAAATTTTTGTTCATCAAATTACAATGTACAACGAATATAAACAAATATTTTCCAATCCACGTATTTTTCTTTGTCCTCTGGTACATTTCTGTTGTATTTACTTTGTAGTACAAGTTGCATTGATCTACATTCCGACTGAAGCTTAGAAACAACTGAAGTCACTTACTCATACATTATCCCTCAAGGTTTGGCTAGAAATGGCTCAGCATCCTTGATGAAATCCACTGTCACCATAACTAGACGCTGTACAGCATCTTATACAAGCACTGTCAACGATCTAAAATGGCTTGTATATAGCTTTCTACGTGTTTATCAACTTACTCGCACGGAGCAACCATGCTGTGACAAATGGCGGGCTATGGGTGACTTGAGTGCAGTAAAACAAATCTGCCTGAAATTGACCAATATTAATCTGCATTCAGTTGAACTCACATCTGGTATTACTTGCAAAAAAATGATGTCAAAATCATAAACATTAATCACTCATTTTAAATTAATACCCAATTTGAACATAAAACAAGATACGATGCCGCACACAACAAAGTTATATGGAGGAATTGACTTCAAGCTTTATTTTTTTCCCAAATATTTGTAATTTATCCGACACATACTTGGGTTTTTTTGTTAATGCGAAGATAATATTTCTATACTTCTTTATGTGCTCCATTGAACGACTAACTATCAGAATGTGCTCACTAACTGATGTCAGAGAGGAGAGCAAACATGCAATTTCACTATAAATAAAATTCGTGTAATTTAAATAATACTCATCCATGCCTGTACAACTGGTGTGTCCTACATTGATAGGAAATATATATTACATATTATTATAGAGTATGAGAGACAGTTAGTGCTGGTTTGCGTGCAAAGACTGTACTCGTATTTCAAAACGCAGTGGTTCCCAAACTACTGTCTAAGCCGAAGCCAGGTAAATCACCTGGACCTGATGGAATTCACCCTAGACTGCTTATCTCCTTGGCGGATATGATATACATTCCACTTATGGAGATTTTTCAAATGTCTCTGACCCAGGCTAGGCTACCCAGGGACTGGAAAGATGCTTTTATAAGCCCCATGTTCAAAGAGAGGTAAAGGCAGTGAGTGTCTAATTACCGGTCTGTAAGTCTGACCTCATTATGGCAAAGGTGTTAGAGACTCATAATGGATCAACTCTTAGCTCATATGGAGAAACACGACTTACTGGCAGTGGAACAGCATAGACTCCGACCAGGAGAATCCTGCTTCACAAACTTACTGTTAGCTAGGGAAGACTGGGTCAAGGCCAGTAATAAGAACCATCTACTGGACGTTGTGTTTATCGATCTTAGTAAAGCATTCGATGAAGTATCCCATTTAGGTCTCCTTAGTAAACATTTTGGATTAGACTAACGCTTATGTGAGTGGTTTAGCGACTACCTGATGGATAGAGGGCAGAAAGTAAGGGTTAATGGCGTACTGTCAGGGTGAAAAGCAGTTCTAAGTGGAGCACCTCAGAGAACTGTACTTGGCTCCCTGTTATACGTACACGAAGTGCCGAAAATTCTTACCTCATCTTCCTTAATACTTGCGGATATTACGATATGGAGAACCTCAAATAGTAACGGCGATAGGTTGGTACTACAAAACGATCCAGATAAATTAGCTGAACTGACTAACCTTTGAAGTCTGGAAGTTAATTCCAAGAAAAGCGCGGTAATGCACCTAGTTCAGAAGTCTTACACGTCATACTCCCTGGGGGGCACAGAATTGCAAGATGTTAGGGGACAAAAGGACTTAGGAATTATTGTAAGCTATGACTTAAAAATAGCGGCGAATTGTAATCGAGCTGCAGCTAAGGCTTTTCGAATGCTGTGGGCACTCTGAAGGGCTTTCAAACGATTAGACGAGAGTATGTTCCAAGTACTCTATGCAACATGTATCAGACCTCATCTAGAATACTGCGTACAAGCGGCGAGTCTATGCTTCAAAAAGGGAGCACATATACTAAAAAGAGAACAGAGGGAAGGAACCATATTAGTTAGTGGTATCTCACACCTTCTTTATGATAAGAGGATGGAGCATTTAAATCTGTTCCCATTATACCGTAGGAGGAGAGGTGACTTAATGTTTGGTGACCATACATTACACGGTGATGTAGGGATTGACCTTTCAAACCATTTCTCTCTCTGGGATACATTTACGTGGTCACCACAAGAAGGTGCTCAAACCGAGGTCTAATAAAATACGTGTCGAATTTCGACTTTGATAGAGTGGTCAACGACTGGAACTCCTCACCTGACTCAGTAGTATCAGCTTCATTGGTGGACGCTTTCAAAGAGAAACTGGATCTCTGCAGAGATATATATCGCAAGGATTAACATAAGCAACAAGAGCCTTCTATCCTTATAGTCTGAATCTGAATGTGAAACCCATTTATCTCAGTTTCGAAATATGCGCCTTTCCAAATCTGTTGAATATGCAATAGATAATTAGAATTTGAGGCGCTACTTTCATGGGTAAGCGGCGTGGTTCCAGGAAGAAAGGTATGCTGTTTCCACTCAAAGTCACAAATAAATGTAGGATGTGTTGAGTTTGATGATGGGGAAGAAATGGTGGACGTTAAAAGCCTGCATACGGAACGCGTGAATTTGAAGAACAAGCATCGACGTCGTAAAAAGTCATTGAAAAATCTTGACAGCGCACATTTTCTCAATGTTTGCAGTGATTATTTGGTTGCAAAATCACAAGAAACTGACAAGGTATTGCCGGATATTTTGCCACACTCGTGTAGCAGCGCTGAACTTCTTAATCTACTCAGTACTTTCGTAAATAGGTAAGTGCTAATTTTGAGGTGAGATGTCGTTTGTGTTTGTGAGGCTACAAGCCAAAATACTTGTTATCGCATAGCCCTGCAATGTGTCAGTTCGTCCTACTCAATTTCATATGCCTATCTCCGACTTAGCAGTGTCAGTCCTCTTGCAGATTTTGTGTACTCTGGAAACTTGGTTAGATTACATTTCTTTTCAAAGGAAATTTCCTAAATGACAGTGTTCCCCAGTTTATATAGCAGTTTTTGGCTTTAATAAATTCGCCATAATATATAGACTAAATTTTACCGGATTTTCACCAGTGCGTGTGCTGTGCGTGAACTTTTTTCAGGGAATTCGGTGTATTACTTATTAGAACCGACATTAGGTGACCTCGAAATAGTCGTGATTGTCCTCAAACAAACACCTCATAGTATGGAATCAAGTCATAATTTCTTTTTCTATGATACACCAAGATTAATTAATCCCTAGCCAAATGAGGACAGGTACTATGTTTTTTCACTGACTACGCCCATTCCATGTTACTCTTTGGATTTCCTTTTTTTTGCCATCAGATTTTTGCTTTGACTCTGAGTCTGTGCCAACAAAGTAAGCTCACGTGTTAGTAGAAGTACTCTGCGACAAAAATCTTAAGTTGGACACAGCTAAGGTGTGCAGTAGTTAGATAAAAAGTGTTTATTTCATGTGAAGAGTCCAAAAATCCGCATATGGCGTGTTTTATACGATAACAGCAATATGTTGTTTGACCTCTCAGACAAAATACGTCTTACTGAATTCACAATGTAGAGCATTTCAGTGTATCAGTTTTTGTTTTCACGTGTGTCATTAGAAATATCACCATAGTACCTGAATTTAAAGCAACTCATCCAAACTGCTGACTGATTGATTGGTTTCAACATAGAACTTTGCACCGATGTGCAGCAGTTCCAGTTGCCACTCTCCATATACCACACAAAGCAAGAGAAGAGAGTAGAGAGAGATTCAAAAGACAGATAATAAACAGAAATATGAGGCAAAAGGAATAGTAATATGGAAGAATAATATAGTTCTATTGGATATTATAAGTCACAAGGAGTGAATGAATATGCTCCATTGAGAACGATTTTGAGCCGTATCACCAATTGTCTCCAGCCATTAGTGTTTACCGTCCCGAAAACCCCAACCAGGAAGTTCGCACCTCCCTATGTAGCTGGCTTAAACTAACTTGTGGATTTCATTGACTGATGAAGTCATTTTTTGATTTTACCACCACTAGCTGTTTTCCCACCTGATCCTATGTCAGCTAACATTGCCCTTCGAGGAAGTCGATGACTAGGCTAGCATGCGTAACACATGTCCTAACCATCTCAATCGATGTAACTTCACTGTCTTCAAATCCATACTTGGCTCGAATTAACAGCCAACAAATAGGTAGATTGGCAATGAAATTCTGTATTTTTCAGTCCTGTCATACTTAAGGTCACATCACTCGTTGGCGATAGGTCCACAGCCGTACTATTGTGATATCAGTGGATTAAAATGTCTGTATTTAGTGCCTAACCTATTTTCCATTCTGTCTGTTCTGTGGTTATACATGTGTTAGTTTCCCCAATCGGACAAAATTGATCAGAAAATGGCTCAGTAATGGTAAAAACCTCGTCGCATAGTCAAGAATCGCCCACCTTCATACTATGGAACATGTCCATTATTCACCCATTCTTTTACCATTTTTGCCCGGCTGGGTCTTTTTAGTTTATTTGCTTCCATCTGAATATAGCATACAAGATGTAGCGAACGACCCATCATGTGGTAACACTACATATCTCTCCCACTTAGTTGTTTCAGCTTTCCTTATTTCGCTTCTTTGTCTCTGTCCATTTTTATGGATCTCGTAATAAAATTCTTTTTCCTTGCAGGTACATCGATGTATTCAACGCGAAACTATCAAGAATTGACTTGCGTCAGTTTTATGATACTACGGCATATGTTACTTTTCAGATTGCCCCATATGTTTGTCAACCTGCAGTTGAAAAATGCCCCGACAAGAGTTTTCGACATAAGTATCAACCTTTGTGGGGTGTGTATGAACGTTTTGCTGTTAATCGCTTGCCTGGTGGTTTTCCTCTTCCCTCATGGGCCTGGTGTGCAATCAAAGAAGAGTCAATGCCTAAAAAGTCTAGAAATTTTTCTAATCTGCCGAAACAAGATCGGAAACTGTTGAAAGCACTTAAAGGTTATCAAACAGGACACATACAAAGACTGGTATCGGTTTCACGCTCAGCCTCTAGCGCACCGGACCGTTGGAGAAGTGGCATACCAGCTCCACCAATGGCTAGGATGGAATGTCGTGGAGTCGAACAGGTCTTAGGTTTGCTTTGTCGCTTACCCGATCTTATACATGTAAAGAATGACAAGTATTCACATTTGGATGTGATATCATCTGAAGTAGGTGAACACTTCAATCTGATTTTTTAGCCACCAGTAGTGTGTCTACGATATTCTTGTATTGCTGCGGAGTTAGTCCCAAAAGACACTCGTCCCAGTGACCTGGAAAATGTTTCAGATCAGTTGTTAGATATCGCTCCTTATGGCAAATTTGCTGTTCGTTTGGTTAGTCGAACGCTGATATTACACCATATGGGTAAAATTATACAAGAAGACCTTTGCCTTACACCATTGCCGAGTTCATATGTTGAGGTAAGTCGTATTACTTTACTAGGTTTGCTAAAAGATACCACTGGTATATGTGTTTAATCAACAACTCTATGTGACAGGTTGTCTAAGTTTCCGGAATCCTGAGATTTCGAATTGGTATTTCTATCTTAACTAAAGTCGTTAATATTAGCGGTCTTCTGCAAGAATGATCTTAAGAGACGCTCGTCTCCAGTCATAACTTGCTATATTAAAGTCTGGCTGTTTGAGTCGAACTGTATTTGCAGTTTGATATAGAAGTCCAGATACACAATGTGAAATAATTTTCACAAGTAAGTAGTTCAGTTTCAACTAGGTTTCTGCACATACTTCTTTGCACTCAGTACTATTCTTCATCAATTAATAATTGTGACCATGAGTTCATTAGTATACTCCTTAATTTATAGTAAATGATTGTATGACGTTTTTTAAATTTTATGACAGTTTTTCGCTAATTACATTTAGAATTCACTCATTCCCTTACGTTTTGCCGGTAACATAGGGCTTCAAGCTTTGTGCATTGAAGTTTCAATAGCAGTGATGTTGTTTTTACAGAGTGGGGTTACCAGTCTCACGCCAAACCTTGCTTCTTTTCCGAGCGTACTTAACGGCTACGAGAGCTTTAGGAGTGTATCGACTCGGAATCAAATCGTGATCATGTACGTGGCTGGTGAATATTCTACCCCTGAACCACTGATGTATTCACTCTGAATTACGAAAACAAAGCTTTCTCATGAGAAGGCTCGTGTTTGTTGATATTATATTCGCCTATAGGGTTTTCTATTTTAACATTCTTAGTTTTGAAAACTCGTTAGTTTTTAGAATGTTTTGTGTAAACATTCCATTGGAAATGCCTAAAATGTATTCGTAAGATATTGCGTGTTACGAAGAAAGTCCGACTAGCACTTTACTTAATTATCAGTCACTAAAATCTTGGGTTGCTGTTTGATAAAATATTATCAGTTTTCGAAACTGTGAATGAATGAATGCAACCTAATTCATGTCTTAATGTCAAATAAAGTTCAAAAGATGCAAATCACAACTAAATTTATGTAGCTAATCTCACTTCGCTTTTACGTAGTGGTATCACTGCTTCGTGTGTAGATACAAAATACTCAACAAAGCATTGGTATTGTTAATACTAGTGGCCTGCCGCAAGAATGATCTTAAGAGACGCTCGTCTCCAATCATAACTTGCTATATTAAAGTCTGGCTGTTTGAGTCGAACTGTATTTGCAGTTAGATATAGAAGTCCAGATACACAATGTGTAACAATTTTCACAAGTAAGTAGTTCAGTTTCAACTAGGTTTTCACATGTACATATGCATGTATACTTATCGTAGTACTCCTTTCCACTTAACAAAAGGTTTAGTTATTATTACGTCCTGTTTTGTGTCTGTCAATTCAATACTTGTCCACTGGTATGCTTTTTGACTAATAGTAAATGTTGGTGTTAAGTTGTCATTTATTTTATGAGACTTTATTTGTTCAGATGAATTTTGATTTTCCTAGTGGTTAATTTAACCGAAATGTCTGATCTCTGTTGACTTGTCAACTCCTAGTACGGATGCTTCAATTTGTTGGAGGATTAACATGGAGTAATTTGGTAGGTGGTGGCTAGCAGGGTGCACATTTCCTTCTACCTGAAACTCGTGTGCTGGTTGTGTGTGTAATCCTCAGTAAGTGATGTCCCCACCGAAACTCGAACCTAGTACCCTTCGTTTCAAACGCCAGAGCGTAATCCACTAGGCATGTCAACGAAGGCTAAACATTTCGGTCCTGTCAGTCAACGGGAAAATCAAAATTGAGTTGAATGATAACTGATGCCCTTTGCACACAAGAAGGCTTCCGTAGCCAAAGTGGTCTAGTGAATAACGCCTTGGCGTTCGAAATGAAGAGTACTGGCCTGGAATCTCAGTGGGAACATCTCTCACTGAGTGAGGATTACACACTCACAACCAACTGACGAGTCCTAAGTAGAAGGAAATGTGCATCCTGGATTTCACTGCTAGTCACCATCCATCAAATTACTTCATGAAATATTATTGTAATAGTTTCACTCAAATAATAGGAAACTAACTTTTGCCTAAAACGACTTGTGTTTGGTGGTATTATAATCTTCGGTAGGACTTTAAGCTTTAATATCCCTGGTTTCGACGACGTTATTAGCTCTAAAAATGTTTCGTAGACACATTCAGTTAGATTACGTACTCTTAGAGCTTACTAGATGCTACCTTTCATTGAATAAAGCCTTGGTTTTCTAAACTCAGTAGTATTTCCAACTGCTGTTGTCAGCATTCATTGGAATAAATGTATTCTTTAATTATATTGGCACTTGTTTTCACTACTTTTATAATAATTGTAGTGAAATATATATATATATATATATATATAACGTCTAAAAAGGAATCTGATCAGTATTCCGTTTAATATAAGTTACTCTTACTTTAGATAACTATTGCCAGTTTTCGAAACTGTGACCGAAATGAAATTTACTTCTAATCTTACATTTTATGAACTTGATTTGAAACTAAATTTATGTAGCTGATCTCACTTTGCTTGTGTGTAATAGTGTCATTGCTTTACATGTAAGTATGAACTACTCAGTGAGATATTGATATAGCTTTTACGACATAATAAGGCCTATAGAAAATACGCTGAACATCTGCATTATACTATTTCAAAACAGATAGAATAGTGTTTAATCACGACCGACCAACCGACCGTTTAATCACGAAATAAAATGTTTGAATTTGTGACATTTTCTATCTTATTATTCTAGGAATGTTCTTTGATTGTTACGGAGGCTGTATCCAGTTTCATGATGTCCCAAGCATCACCTACCTCATCGTTAGTTCAGCAAACTGGTTGTGCATTTGATGAAACTACTGTTGCAAGATTAGTTGAAGAGTTATCCGTTGCAACTGGGATGAACAAAGCCTATTCTCTTCAGTGCCTAACCGAGTGTCACTTCAATTTAGATTCTGCATTACAGTCATTTCAAAAAGTTCATGCAGCTGGACTCCTCCCACCTGATGCTTTTTTACCGAGTTGATAATTAATTTTGTATTTTTCACTGTACAATATATATATTTTGTAAATATGTTCCTTCAAAATATTAAAATCTTATGCTTTATAAGTTGCAGAGACTTTTTCGTGACTAGTTTGAAGTTAATTCTGGGGCACCATGATATAGTGCTGCGCTTGATACACCATTAACTTTCATCGTTGGCTGGTAACGTTTTTGTCACTTTAGAAACGCCGATAAGATTCACTGGTATCAGTCAGCGTTAACCCATGAACTTAAATATCATAACCTTCCATGCTAGATACCGAGGTGTATCCTTCCCCCTGAAATTAGCTGAACCTGCTCCGTTTGTTACTATATGACCAGCTTATACACGTAATCAGTAGACAGTGGTTAGTGCTAACAACTTGTAGGTGAGTAGTACCTATTGAACGTATAGTGACTAATAAATTCTCACTGTATTCTTCTTTTACAGCATTTCTAGCGTAAGCGTTAAGGTGATTTTATTATTTATCGGAAGAAATAAAATACTGGAGGTGAACTGGACTAAAAACTAGATTTATCTCAATTTGTCGTATCAGACATCATACATGAAGTTGCCTTCATGAGTTTCGACAAAACAATAAGACGTCATTTATCTGAACCGTGTAATGTATTTGCACAACGCATTTCGGATATTCAGATCACACACGTAGTTGTTGTGCACATTTATATGGGAGGCAAGAGAGCGTCAATTATTACAATATAGGTCAAATTTTGTACAGGTCAAGGTCATAAATAAGAGGTAGGAAGATGCCGTAAGAATATGAAATGATAAAAAGATAGAGAAGGGATATTTAGAAATATTTTTAAGTAAGTTGAATCTTGGTCCTAAAATTGGATTACTTAGGCAGGTTCAGGGTAATGACGAATAATTCTTGGACGCATGAAATAGGTTTGAGCCTTTTTATAGTCAAGGATTTAACAAATTGCAGTACGTGACCCACACTTGGGTTGCGAGGTATTATTGACATCGACCGGTCTCTATCATGTGCGCCGCGATAGGTGATGCTGGACATCCATTTCCAGGACTAATTGTATTCGGTGATTTTATTTGTCGTTGCAGCTATTTTGTATTCTGTAGCCATAACCTGCAGAGACCAATGGATCCTTCCTATTTACGTGTAGCTTTACATACATGTGAATTGATCAACACAGTGGAATGTGACATTGTCGTTCGGATTCTGTGAAGGTTTACAGGACAACATAGATTTCGTCTTCCTTATGAAAATAAGTTTAGCTGCATATTGAGCTCTATTAATTGCTGCCTCGATTCTTTGTTTAGTGATCACACTTTGAACGGTTGAGTAACATGGTGCACCAGGCCATTGCTTGAGTGGGACCCAAATGGGGAGTGAGTTGGGTGTCTGTCCGAAGATGACATCGAGATATTGTCAGGAGAAGATGAGAGGTTATGGAAATTGTGCAGCCAGCTAAAAATAACCACTGAGAACAGGAAAAAATGAAGATATGTTGTTGAAGCTAGACATTCCACTCAGAACCCAAAAGAAAAATATTCTAAGTTAGTGTTGTTCATTACGCTATGTATCTCATACTTGGTAAGTATACAACAAATGATTTCTGTGTATAATGCAGATAGATGTATATAATCAAATATTGATTGACGAACGTGGGTTTTGATAAAAGTAATTGATGTAGGCATAGATATTCACTGACTGTGGTGGCTGTCAAGTGTTTCGTACACTCTTCTGTTACATAGTTAGGAATCAATAGACTGTGACTGACAATTAAAAATCACTCATTATAATTACAAGTATATCCGCATACCTATGTGCTTTACGGTTTAATCACTATCTCTTCATTCAGTTTCTCTTTCTGTGCCTTTTAGAAGTAGGGTGAGCCTAACTAGTGATTATCTGTGCGAAGATTTATGTTGATCTAGCTTTTTGGTCTGGAAAAACAAATTTATTGAATCTATTTGACCGTGTTTATCTAAGTGTCATTAAGACTCTCCCCGGTTATTTCATTTGGCACACTTGTACAATATAAGCTATGTAGATTGTTTCATTAATGTATCTGATAAGTTTACATTTAAAATACATAATTACGAGGGGGAATTAATACGAAGATTAACGAGTGTTAGTTGTGACATAAGATAGGTTCAGTAAATAATAATATTTCAAGTTAGATCACAGATTGAGAAACATCGGAAACTGGCAACACTAGACAGCAGTTTCGTTCTGGTTAAAGATCATTCAGTAGTACGTGTCGATGGTCCCACTGGTAAGGTAAGCCCAATGAGAAGTCATGACTAGCGGGATCCGCCAAGTCAGCTTTGAGAAGAAATACTGGGTGGTATTGGTACTGTATATCAGGAATCGGTAGAAGGTGGAATTTATGGATTCAATCCTAAGTTGGGTCTCTAGTGGGATTGTGGATGCATACTACAGAGTAATTGTGAACTAGGAAGGTGAAGGTGTATAATGCTCTATGGTTCTCAATAGTTCTCTAGCTTATGTCAATCTGTGAAAAATGAATGAATATACATTATTGATTAGATGTTGAGTAACTAGATAGAATAGAGAAGAGTTGATATTCCATATAGGGGGGAAGGACACGTTGAGAATAATTTTCGAACATCATTTAATTAAGACCATTAAAGAAGGATGGGTTGAAGAAGTTTCGCCTGTATTGACACCTGCTCCTTTATTTCGATGACTGAAAGTTGAGGAATACAGACCAGCCAGACACTCACTGATTCTGTAGGTTATTTTTCACCTCCTAAATAACTTTAGAGGAAGAACTTCTGGAGTTGTAATGACCAGTAGCAACAAGGTGTTTAGTTATTGTGTTGCTTGCAAATAGGCTTCAATCTCTTAGTAGCCTCGAAGGATATACCCTCTGGGTAGAAGGATGGATAAATCTGTCTTCACAGAAGTTGGTGCAGAGATATACCCACATAGAAGTAGTCAGGCGTGAAATATTGTCCTTCATATCATTCGAAAATGGTGGTCGACTGGAAAACTATACTGTTAATTTTGGTTTGAAGAACGCCCTTTTTATAGAGATCCCACTTTCCTTGAGTCTACCAGCTAGGTTAATTTGAAGTTGACGTTCATATACAGTATCATTTCGGATGTAAAAGATGTCTCACGTCTAGGAGATATTGGCCTAATGTTTTCATCCACGAATCGACGGTGAAGTACCTTTAATGGTTGACTGAGCTTAAACAAAGAAGAGAAATGCACCATTTTAGGCTGCTACACTCCATGTAACACACACAAAAAAAGAAAAAGAATTCTAAAAGAACTATAATGAGAAGAAATGTACGGCAGTGAGGATAGTTACGTGAAAAAACATGAGAATTTCAATGAATCTAGGAGATTACAGACAGTGAATGCATGTACGTCTGGTTACAAGTCAATACCATTAGTACATCTATGATGAAATTAAACAAAACTGAGGACACTGGGAATCCTTGGTGGACACTGCCCGTTGGCATCACTTCCTCAGGCTCTTACGCGGGTTGCTTGAGTTAGAGTGCCTTGACTAGTGCGTTGTACTATCTCGGCACTCTCTTGACAGCCAAACATTGCCACAGCACCTCTCAGTGGACAGAGTCGAAAAGATTATATGCCCGCACAACCAAGTACAAAAACTCAATGATATCATATTTCGTCAGCCTCCTATGTGATAGAGATAGTGTTAAGCGCAAAACCTACGACTTATCATGCCATTAGCAAAACAATTGACTCTTCTATTCTCTCCTATTTGACACTATTTCAGTTAATTACACTTATAATTTACACCTTTTGTACATTTTTGACTATTGTCACTGCAAATACCAAAAAGCTGTTATTATCAATCCTGTAACATTATTTTTAATCTTCGCTTTCTCCGTTGTCGAGTAAATTAGACGAGATATTGCACCAGATGCTGGAAATTCCACACTGCATCATAAGTACTGTTTTCGAATAAAGCAGATTGTTATTATCATTAATTCCGCTTTCAGATTAAGAAATCTGCTGAGTGATGGACTGTTTTTAATGAAGAGATTTTTCAAAAGGTTCGTTTCTTCTCCTGTGGTATCATGGCTATATATATGCCGAATGCAAGTAGCAACTGATATAGCGGTATGTCCCTTGCGACTAATGTGTATCCAAGTGTAGGAATTTGTCAGCTAACTATTCAATGTCGGACTCCAATGAATCAATCTCTTCCAGGTATCATGACTCCTCCTTGATTTCTCCATACCAACAGTTGGAATGCTAATCTGACTTTCTATTTCATGAGTGGTTTATGCCGCCTGATGGCAGATCTTCAGTCAGATCACAGTTATCATCAAAAATCATGAAAGTGCCATCCGCACACTTTTTAAACAGTTGAAAAATTTTTGATCCTCGACTTTAGCTGATCATTTTCTAGACCCATTACAAAGTAGTCTGCAAGAAATTGACTTCGTTGAAATTTCATCTTTTACCTGTAGGTATTTTCTTTAAATGTACATTTCAAACGAATCATGCTGATTAGTCTGATAAATTGACAAATAATATTTCGAAGAAATTGAACTTAAGATGAATTTTTGGCGTCACAAATGACTGTAAACAGTCACTCAGTTGTCATTTCTCATCAGAGAAGTTGAGACTAAGGGTGTAGAAAAATGCAAATCGCATCTACATCACATTTGTTAATTTTGAGTTATGTCATTGATGACTACCTAAAAAGTTAAACAATAATCATGATGAATTAATGAATATTAGAATGGTGTATTGACTATTTTTTTTTATTTTGGGAGCCTACTTATGTTGATGTATTTCCCTTTCTTTTTATTCATTCAGTAGTTTACTAAAGCCACCTAACAAGTAGCCATTTGTCGCAGTAGGGTTAAACCTGCAGAAGAGATATTTTTAGTGTCTAACGTAAGAAATTATTGGCATTCACAGGTGTCCAATGCGTTTTATTTGGCTAACTGTCATTGTGTGAAGCTGAGCTAATTATTAGTAATCACTAAATTAATCAGGAAACTTGTGAAAAAGATCATTATGGATAGTGATATAGCTATGCAATTTTGTGGGATACACAATGTGAGCAATAGTCTGCAACAGACCTGCATTTTATACCACTTTACTGATCGGACTCAAGAATCCTAACCATATTTTCCCAGTTAGTATATTTAGCTACTAATGTGAGTGAAATTAGCATATCATTTTATATACAGCATATTTCTTATATATAATATGTATATTAAGTGACTATCGATCAAACAGAATTTGAAACACTAAGGTATCGATCCGTTTCTTAGTGAATTAATTTAAATAGAATATTAGCGGTTGTACACGGATTCTCTGAACATGTCTACTGTTATGGAAAGTAAGATAAATGCATAATGAATTCTTCGGGAATTTACTAACAATCATTTCCCAACAGATACCAAACCTCCGTTGTGTCCAGAATGGGAAGCAGGATTAAGCCTGCATAACTTGGTAAGTTACTGGTGACTTTTTTAGTAAATTCTACCACTATACATTGACAAATATTATTTAATTTGAAATTTATCAGTATTCATCTTTTTAAAATGCATTTTTAGTTTGTAGGATACTAGGAGGATTTAAATATCCGAATGAATGATAGACCACATTAGAATTTTCATATCAAGTATACTTGTTCAGACATTTTTGGTAACTATATAGATATAATTTGTACGGGATGAGACATGTAAATTGAATTGTAATTTGTCATTTACTGCTGAAAGGATGATTCACGAGGATAATAAAATTTGCATGATAGTTTTGTCTGTCGTTGATTCGTTATATTAGGGTTAAGAGTCTGGTGCCGTTTGAGTTCCCTATATCAGTGATATGGTTACTAAACAAGAAAAAGTTCAGTGTAATAGACGGGATGTCATATTATATATATGTGTATAAAACTTGGGCACTGTGGCAGTATGTAATTCCATATTGGTTTGTTTATTAGATATGTCACACAGTGAAACAGTATTGTTTACTGGATGACGTTACGAACAAAATTTATTGTTCATAATCATATCAATTATAATCACACGACTTTGAAACTTGAGTTTTATAGTTTTCTTTGTTCTCTCCTATTTGTCGTCGTATGGGTAGTAGAATTTTCCAGATATCTGAGTGGACAGGTGTTGAATCATTCCTATTACACGTATTTGCAGTTGATTCGATAAACAAAGCTTCCGTTATCAATCTCTCCCTCCATTCATCCTGTTACATTAGATTTTAAAACTGTCATCTTATCCCATTCTATTGTATGGTTGTGTGTAATTGCATGTAGTGAGTGCTATAACTGAACTATTCTCTAGATTTCTTATCTTATTCGGGTCAACTAATCTAGATTTCGGTAGGTTTTATGCTCGGCTAGTCTGACTGCCCCTGTTCTACTACTTTGACCTATGTATTTGACCTGACAATCATTCGAGTAGTGTGTTACATAAACTAAATTGTTTTGTTTCATTGGCTCCACAGGATCCTTTAACCGAGAAAGCTTGTTTCTAATTGAGTTTGTGGTTGGTTTGAATGCCAGCCACTTTTATTCCTGCCTTGTTAAGAATTCTGAGTAAGGTTTACGAGTTTCCTTCTTTGTATGGAATTACTACTGATGATTTAAATTCCTTATTGGTAGTTTTGTCATCATTCCGTTCATGTTTGATATTCATTTCGTCATTTAATAGGATTGGTGAAATGTTTAAGTAATAGGGCAAAAACTATAAAACTTAAGTTTCGAAGTTGTGTGGTTATAATTGATGTGATTATGAACAGTAAATTGTGTCTGAAACGTTATCCAGTAAATAATACTGTTTCACTGTGTGATATATCTAATAAACAAATTAATATGGAACGTCATGCATTTTGAAATTTTACTAAGTGACACTGACATCCTACTGGTGGTGTTAGTCCTAATTTCTTTTCTCCAAACTAATGGATTGAAATTTCCTACAGTGATTATGCTATTCTAGTTCATATCTGATTATGGATTACTCAATGGTTCAGGGGAACACGAAAGTAATAATAAATATCTAGAATTTGATAATGTGAAAATTATTACTAAATACGAAGTACAACAGTAAGGATGAAGAACACGAACGGGGAAAATGGCAAAAGTTTTAGTGTTTAACTTTTTTTCGTTCCTTCCATTCCGATCAGTCCAAAGTGCTTCAGGCTTTGAATTTCTAGTAGCAGTTGTGTTGTTTTTACGGGCTTGCATCTCTAGCCTCATATCCAACCTTTACTCTTTTCCGAGCTAATAAACTAGTCGAGGTTTAGAAGTGAATCAGGCTTAAAGACTGAAGATACATTTATTGTATGTAGAACACAAAATCGAATTGGTGGACAAGTTTCGAATTCTCACTCCATTTTTGCGGTTGCGTGCAAATGTTGTAGTAGATTTATAGGAATATTCTGGTGCGTGTTCATAACCTCAGTTAACCAAGTCTTGAATCTCACATCTGATGACTTACATTCATTATCATCTTAGTTAGTGTTCAATAATGAATTCACAGAAAGTGGCTCTGCCTAGTGCAGCCTACGAGTCCTTATGTAGTTTCTCTTTGCCTTAAGTAACAACTTTTATCCTATCTATGTACACTATATGAATCCCACACTTTTTATCAATAAAAGACATTTATGTTTGTTGTAAATATAAATATAATTGTTCTGTTTCAGAGAATGATATCCTTGAAGGGAAGCTTTTCCTTATGAATTTAAAAACACGCCAGACATTAAACGCCCTTCTACTTAAGATGAGAACTATTTTATTTTACTCCTTTACTTTCCCAGTAAAACACAAGGCTTCAAGCTACAGCTATGAAGTTTCGGTAGCAGTGGTTTTATTTTTACAGGGTGGGATCGCTAGCTTCACGCCCAGCCTTCCTTGTTTACCTATCCTACTACCGGCTGAGAGAGGTTTAGGAGTGCGTCGCTCGTCAACCGAACCCTGAACCACATGCATGGTTCACAAACATTCTACCCCTGAACCACTGACGCCCCAAGAGGAGAACTAGCTTCACTTCAAAATAAGTATTTAGTGAGTGCTTTCAATCGACTTCATGTATACAATGATCAAATTTAAAATATATTGACTATTACACCAATTTCACAAACCAGTTAACCAACTTAATTTAAAAACTTCATACAATTCTTCTTGTTCATAAACTTCAACAACACAAGGAAGACAAATGCATTAGGATAATATGAGATCATCTTTTAGTCTTCCAAGAGTTCTTTTCACCTCTTCCACCTATTAATAATCTAACAACTTACATCTTTCCGGAATTATGTTACTCTTATTTCCTAACAATTACTCCTTGTCATCGTGAAAAGAGTACGCTTAAATTTTCAATTATATTTATATTTTATATTAAATTATATTTTTTGTATTATTCAGGTTGTGGCGAGTTGAGAGGAATCCTTGGAATAATAAGTAAATGGGAGGTTTGGAATATAATTGGCTGATAACGAAATTCAGTTATGTATATGGCCAATGTCAAACTTTCAAAATTTTTGTAGTTGATTTCTTAAAATACATATAGTTGTTTCCCTTGATAAACTTAAATAAAAACGAGAAGAATACATTGAGCAGGACGTCGTTTTATCCTGCTTAATGCGTTCTTCTGGGTTTTTCAAATTATCAAAAGAATGGATACTGAACAAAGAATACTCTTTTCGATAACTTCATCATGAGGCTCTACAGCTATATGTACATTACAGTGAATGAATGAATTAGTGCTAAGAATAACATTAATGCTGTTTAAATAACATCGAATCAATAATAATATCAATAGATTAAAGTTCAGTAGCATCAACATAAAATAAGCTGAATGTCAAAAAAATTAGGAAAGATAATATTACAAATTCATGAATTTACAGTCTCTACTGATGGCCAGGGCAGTAGTAGTGGCTGGACTTACTTCTTTTGCACACAGAGCACTGGTTATTTAAAGTGAATCGCGATAGCCTCTGCTGTTTGAAGCATGCGGTACTTCGATATTTTCGGCAATTTATTAGGCACCCGGTAGATTATAGAGAAGGATTCTACCACGCTGGCTCTGTGGCCGGTTTGCACCAGATGGTCCAATATCGAACTGTTAATGGTTTTCACTACACCTTTACTCAGCCATAGTGGGAGATGTTCTTGAGCACGAAAAATTAACTGATATCAGTAGTGTATTCCTATTCGAAGAATTTTATGCAAACTCCAAGATTAAATGCTGAATTCCACACCAACTAAGCTAAAACTGTGAATGTTTCGCTCTTCTAATCTTAAAAATCACTGCTAACAGGTAGATTGTATGAATAAATTCGTCAGTAGCCAAAGCTTAAAACAATAAGCCGATCCCGTTGACAGCTTAATAGCTACATTCTATGATAAAAAAAATAGAAATTCCGTAGTATATAAGTTTATTCGACATAACACATAATTATAAAGTGTTAATAACTTGGTGGCGTTTCAATTACGTTTTATTGCTTACAATAATCATATTCATAATTGCATCCATGGTCTTCCAGTTTAACGGCTAGCCAACAGACTCGTACAGCTGTTACAGACAGAATAGGCAGCTGCTTATGTAACACTTCATCTCATAAGAAAGAACGATGTATAAACAAGGTAACTATATATCTGCACACGTTTTCCCCTACTAAACTTGATACAATTACGTCTTATCTGTCGAAATTACCCCCTTGATACTCTTTTGACTTTTACATAAATATGTTTGATAATTGTATAATCAGAATGTTAAATAAATTGTCTTCTTATTTTGTCCTAATAAACTATTCTTTCTTCTTTAATGCAAGAATATTAAACGTAATACATGTCAATGTATGGTCATAATCTACTACAATCTGGATGAGGTTTCATTTGGAAAATTTCGTAACACTATGATAGCTCATAATCCTGTGATGAGAGCTTATGGGAACGGAGAATTTTTAGGCATTTCTAGAGTAAGTTCATCATTACTTCAAATTATTTTTTATTAAAATGTTTGTGTGCAAAATTATCTACTTGTAAGTAGTAAATATATTTTGGCATAATTATTTACTAAATTGATGAATGCATATTAATGTGACGCACTGATAATTGATATGATTTCGGACAAGTAGAAGAAAATATCTGTTGCACTTCTTCCAGTTTCAAATAAAATGTTTGAACAGTTCAAGTTAAAAGTATCATCCTAATATTTAAAACAAAGCATATGCGAAACGACTGGCATCACTTTGGCACAGAAGACAACTATTTAATAACCCGAGTAATAAAGCAGTGGTGTTGATTCGTCTCGACTAACGTGCTGGCATTGTCCTCATGAATAGTCAAATTTATATCGATAAAGTACTGACAACCATATTGGATGAATATAGATTCTCAATAGAAACTATTTAGAAAAATCAAACTGAGTAAATGAAGGAAAAGAATCAGTAAATCCTGAAGAAGATGAGGGATGTGTCAGGCATTTACTTTGGATTATCTGAGTAACTACTATCCTCGGGTTTTGTAACTCAGGGCTTATATGATCTCCCGAAAGGCGATGATAACAATCCTCCTACTCCTGAACATAAACAATTAAGTATAATATGCTATTGCCCAATACGTTACAGACAGTCTTTTACCTGTTAGGAGTAATCTCATGGAACCATATACCGCCAACTGATCCAGATGAGTAGCTGTATACCTCTCACATCAACCAGTAGTGCTTTCTAACCAGATCGAGGATATCTAAACACCATAGGACTATTTAACTCATTTTGGTCAGGTTCATCGGCGGTGTACCCAGTTCGACTCATCTCATAGAGCCAAGACAGTTCAAACTACTTCGTTATTCTGACTAGCTGCTTCGATGAAAAAGTGGTTATACTACCTCGATGTCGCCATCAGACACTGCTGGCTGGTACAAATGGTACACTACTACTCATCCCAACCAGTCAGTATTATATGGTTTTATGCAAATATGCTTGGTTTCTAATTACCATTTATGGCATCGAATAAATTGCATACTGTGTGAATTATGAATTGCAAATTAATTTGTAATTTATGAATTTGATTCCACGCTACCAGTTCATCGAAGTGTCTAATCAGAAATCGAGTAGTTTAAACTGTTCCGCCTGTCTGAGCTGAACCATATCGGGTATACCGCTGATTAGTTGGATCTGAAAAGAGCGAAAACACCGTCTAGTGTTTGCATCACCTCGATCTGGCTAGCAAACACTACTGGTTTGTATGAATGGTACACAACTACTTATCTCGGTCAATCAGTAGTACATATTTTTCTGCAAATATACTTGGCTTCTTGATTACATTCATAGTATCAAGCAGGCCACATACTATGATCAGAATAATTTTGGTTTCCAAAGGAAACTGGTGAGATCTCACCTCTTCGAACTGTGTAAATTGCAAATTGTGAATATAACTTATAGAAATAATCTCAATTCTCCAATTTGTTTGAACTAGTTAATTTAGTAAATGATGTCAGTGTTTTTGAAAAGAGATGGTTATCTTAGGGGTTCTACATTTCTCTTCAGTAAACTATTTATTGGAAATAATAATAAGGATTTTCCTGATTACAGTAGATTGGATAGTGCGACAAACGACGGGCAATGAGGAAACAGGCATAAAATGGGCTCACACAAAAAACTTGGAAGATCTGGACTTCGTCGATGATATATGTCTGATTTCCCACAAACTGGAAGATATGCAAGCGGAAAGCAACAAGTTGGCAGAAGAAGCATCAAAGACAGGACTTCAGGTGAACATAGAGAAAACAGAGGTGATGAAAATTCCTGGGCAACACCACCAACAGCAACAAAAACAACAGACAACAATCAGCATAAATGGAAGGAACCTGAAAGAAACAACCTCTTTTACCTACCGACCTGAGAAGCATCGTTTCAACTACAGGCGGAACTGACGAGGATATCAAAGCAAGAATCGGAAAAGCAAGACAAGCTTTCACTACTCTCAAGTCTGTGTGGAGGTCAGCAGCACTCAGCATCAAAAATAAGATCCGTATTTTCAACTCCAATGTGAAGTCAGTGCTACTATACGGATCAGAGACTTGGCGTGTTACAAAGAGCACCTCAAACAAACTACAAACCTTCATTAACAGTTGTCTTCGCTCAATACATTCCTCAAGATCAGATGGCCAGAAAAGATCAGCAACAGAGATCTCTGGCAATGAGCGAACTAACCAGGAACCGATTGTGAAACAAATGGGCAGGAGGAAATGGAGATGGATTGGCCATACTCTCAGGAAATCATCAAGTGACATCACTAGACAAGCCCTTGAGTGGAACCCGAACGAATGGGAAGCGGCGAGTTGGTCGTCAGTGCAAGGGTGGGGTGACTTGGAGGAGGTCATGTGAAGAGGAGATGAAAGCGTGTGGGCAGACTTGGGGCCAGGTGAAAACTTTAGCAGAGAACCGAACGCAATGGAGACGCACGGCTGAAGCCATATGTTCTTCTAGGAATTAAAGGAAACAACAATAATAATACTCAGTTATTACAATAATATTAAACATTTGCAATTGCATGTTGAAAACTGGATACGTAACCACAATCTTTTGTTGATGATCTATTAACTCTCAGTATTCATAACTAATACTTTCCTCTTCAGATAAGTATCTTCTTAATAACAATATAAGTGGAGTTTACATCAATTAAAAGAATTCAGATATACACGTTATGCTATCAGAGATCGTTATGATTGCTGCTTCGTATTTGGTTGGTTTGAAAGGCAGTTTAATCTTCACAGTTGCTGATTGTGAGAACTGTTCTACTGACTGATTGTTGACATACAACCTTGTGATTATGAAATAACGTGTATTATATTGCTAAGACTATCGAAAAATGGTTAAACTTTCTATTTTTACCTCTTTTTGTATGGATGAATTTTTCAGAATTCGTATTTGTATTCTGTAATCTAATTGAATAAAGATGCCCATTATAAATTTCAAAAGACTTATTAGTGAGCAAACAATATTCTTGTCGATGACTTCATCGATTTTCACTTCATTTTCTTTCGTTAATACTTGCATAGAATAAAATCATTATCGTAAAGTTTATTACGAGTCTCTGCACCGAAGCATACACAATTCATCCCAGTAAGGCGTCATTCAGACGGTAGTTGTTAAATCACATAGACCCTTTGTCTGCATATATGGAAGAAAATACAATGAATACCTATGAAAAAGTTATACAGAAGAACATTTTTCTCTCCACCAATCAGTCATTTAAAATCTCTGATCAATCAGTACTGAGGTTGGATTACTTGAGAAATTTATATAATTGAATTCTACTGATAAATAAGCACTTTAATTAGTTGAAAAATGACTGTCATGGTTGAATTCAAGAATCAGTCTGCATTCACGTGAATCAGAAAGTGAGGAAACATCTTGCTTATTGGAAGTCGCTTCACACACGGTATTTACTTATGACACGAAAGACATGTTAATTGTGTATTTATGAGGAGATAATCCGTAACCATGAAGTATCTTTAGGCATAGGGAAACTCAGGTTTACCGTAGCTTCGGATGCGTTAAACGAAAATTGATATGATTAGTTGGGTTATTATGAAGATATAAGAGGAGAGGGTTAGTAAAGATTTTTATAAAAGAAATTTTTTTCTGTTAGCGATACCAGTCTTTCGGAATTAGTTGTGTGTCGCTGAGCTGGTTGAGAAAATGAAAATGATCAGTACAAATGTTAATCGACTACTAGTCACGAAGATGGTTGCCGGGAGACACAATTCTATCATTCGTGAAGAATTTAAATCAGTTCATTTTATACTAGAACTTGCACTGAAGATGTTGTCCAGAAGGACGACGAAAGCTTCGCAATTAAACCAACTAGCTCAGGGACACACAACTAATTCCAAATCATCCACGTGAGCTACAAATCTTCTCTATTGCTTCAAAATCTTACGAACGTGATACGCTTCTGTGTTGTCAAAAATAGGATACCAATCTTATTAATAATACATCATGTTTAAACCAGTTTCCAGGAACACCGTTATTGTTTATTTTAAGACAGGCGTTTTGAAAGTTATTGTAGTACTGATGTAAGAGTGAAAAGATTTTGTTTGTTAGTCATGAAACTTATTTATTTTTCAATTTGAATTTGTTAATTCTAATTATTCATCCTATTTACACTTCATTGAAGGATATTTGTTGTGTAGAAGGTATATTTCCAAGAAATCAAAATATTGGTATTTTAACATTTGATCATGTTGAAGACGCTAAAAGGTGTATTGAGTCTAAAGTTGAATTACGTGAACCACATCATTATGGTGGTCATGAACTTTATATAGTTCCATTATGTAATCCAATGCAATCATGGCCAGGTAAGTTGACGAATATAAATATAATCATAATTTAAGTCATTTAGTATCTATGAAAATTTTTTAATGTAATTTGTTTTTCATCAGGAACTAGTTATATCCAGAGATTCACTACCAGTGAAGGACAGCAGGACAGTGCATTCACTAATTCACTCATTATGGATTTCAGGACTTTCAAGTTTTCTAATGATGTTGTAATTCAACTATTAGAGGATTAGATTGACTAATATGTTGTTCAACATTCCAGGGTTTATGGCCATACAAAGACTAATTAGAGCTTGAGAAAAATTCTTATTTAACAGTCTTGGATGTTGGTGCATCGACTAAATTTCCACTCCTAAAGATTCTAGAACACAAACATATTTACAAGTAACCCACACTTACAGCATTTTGAGATCCAGAAGCAACAAAGAGGTGTCCCGGAAATTCTAACCGTGATGGGAGTAACGAGAAAGTTTGTTATCCTAACTAAGGCGCTCTACTAGAGTTCATGTAGCTAAGTAACAACATATGAAGAGTTATCCTGCTACTTGCTGACAAACTCCAGTGTTCATAGAGGATTCTCTTTGTCATCACTCTTGACTTTATCGCAAATGCATAAATGAGTATGATCCTGTTTAATTCTGATCTTTCAAGAATTACCTTGGTATCAAGAAAGGAGCTAATGGATTTAGATCTCACAGAGAATATAGGCTTTTCTGTGCGTCGGTAGTTCAGTGGTAGGATTATTATTATTGTTCCCTTGGGTTCCTAGTAGAACGAAGGGCTTCAAATGCACCCCTCCACTTGCTTCTGTCTTCTGCTGTACTTTTCACTTGCATCCATGTTAGTCCATACTGTTTCAACTCCTCTTCACACGATATCCTCCATGTCACCCCCTTGGACGTCCCACTCGACACTTCTCTTTCGGGTTCCACTCGAGCACTGGCCTGATGCGCGATGTCACCCAGCAGCCTCCTCAGCGAGTGCCCAACCCATCTCCACTTTCTCCTGCATATTTGTTGAGCGATTGGTTCTTGTTTTGTTTGTTCCCATAGTTTCTTGTTGGTGATTCTTTCCGGCCATCTGATCTTGAGTATAGAACGAAGACAGCTGTTGATAAAGGTCTGCAACCTGTGGTAGAATGCTAGCTAGTTATATGGGTGGTCTGAGTTTGATTCCCACCTAGTTTACCAACCGATGGTAAAATTTAAAGACAGGAAAGTAAAGTGAAAATAACATCATCTCTGATGAAACTTCAAGACCTTTGTCCCACTAGGAACTCAAGGAATATGAAATTGTGAAGGGCAAACAGAATGTGCTATGTTAATAGCTTTCTCGGCCGTTTGAATTTTTGTATTATATTTTATTACCTCTGTGGACTAGTTTATTTAGCTATGGATCATATAAGGCAGGTAATTATCACTCATTCAAAAACTATTTAAATAACCTGATTGGTCTGAACATATTCATAGTGGAAAAATTGAACATTGACAGATAAGTGCTTAAGTCAGTAGGTTACTTGAATTTCTGTTCAACTTAATGCACTGACCTACCTCCCTTCTTCATTGTTTAATCGTCCACTTACGTCACTGGATCACAACATTGTAAGCTTTCAGTGCACTGCTATAAATTTCTCCGAGGAAACGGAAAGAAAAAATATCATAAAGGACTCACTCGTTTTTTCAGATGGAGTAACACTGTGTAACATATTGTCAATGAATATTTCATTTTAATTTCCTATATAAGAAGTAAATATTATGCATTAAAGTACACTGAGGATACTGTGCTATGCGTAGATTCCATGAAAGTATGGAAAATGGCAGACTACTGTGAAAATCATAGCTTCTTTAACTTAACATTGTTTAAAAATGTCAAAACATACTGTCATCACTCTTTACAATGACTCCTATCTCATATGCCATCTATTTAGCCAGCTGTAATTATGCGGTATTACATAATCTCTACTGTACTGATATAATGGTTCATGAAAGTTACGTCTATCATATTATTTATTACTATTCCCTTGGGTTCCTTTTGGAAAATAGGGCTTCAACAACACGTCTCCACTTTCTTCTACTTTCTGCCATCCTCTTCAGCCAGGTCCAGGATTGCCCAAACTCACTCATTTCTTCCTCACACGATCCCCTCCATGTCACCCTCAAAGTGAAACTGACTCGTCGCTTCCCATTTGGATTCCGCTCGAGGGCCCGATGCAAGATGTCATTCGACGGCCTCATCAACGTATGCCCGAACCATCTACATTTTATCCTACATATTTATTGAGCAATCGGCTCTTGGTTAGTTTGTTCATCGCCAGAGTTTCTTGTTGCTAATCCTTTCTAACTGGCTATTTGATATTCAGTATGAGGCCAGCAAAGCGGGTAGCTGTTGATGAAATTCTGCAGTGACTTGTTGGAAATCCTTTTCATGACATGCAGTGCAAGTTTCTGACCCGTATAGAAGAAGTGACTGACTAAACATTTGTGTTGAAAACCTAAATTTCGTTCTTTATGCTGCGGGGTGCAGAAGATTTCTAGACTGCTTTCAGGTTGATGAAGGCGTATCTTGCCTTTCCGATTCTGCCTGGCTTTGACATCTTCATCCATTCCTCCTGCTTGTGGTTAAAACTATGCTTCCTAGATAAGTGAAGTTAGGAAGAAACCTCCGTCAAATCTCCTCCGTTGATGGTGGTTGGTGCTGGTTGTTGTTGTTGTTACTTTTAGTTAGGTGATTGGTTATCTTCATCAACTCCGTCTTCTCTATATCCACGTAGAGTGCTGTCTTCGCTAATTATCAGCCTCTTCTACCAGTTTGTTGGTTTTCGCCTGCAAGTCTTCGAGTTTGTGTGTGTGACATTAGACATATATCATCCACATGTGAAATCCAGATCTCCTAGGGTTCAACGGTGGTTCAACGTATTCCTATCTCACTCGTGATGCACAGTCTGATGCATAATCCAGTTCACCAAAATTAAGAATATCATCGTGTGTTAATAGGCAGTCTTATCTTACTCCTGTATTCACTTCGAACACTTTAGTGAGTTTTCCGTTGTGGGCCACCTGACACGTGGCATTGTCATACAGCCAGCTGTTGAATGAGGTTGATAAATACTTGGGCACCGCATGCTGTAGTGTTGATGAAGTTTCCAAATTACTTCTCGTTCAACGCTGTCGAAGGCCTTTTCAAAGTCGATGAAGTTGAGGTAGAGGTTTGACTCCTATTCTATGCTTTGTTCTGTGATGACGATGCGTAAATTTGCAATTTGATCAGAACATGATTTGCCTCCCTTGAATCCAGCTTGTTCCTGGCTAGCGGAGTTCTGTATTCAGTGTATCTTTTATTCTCTCCAGGATGATGCGACCTAGTATTTTACTTAACGCTGACAAGGGATTTATTTCACGCAAGTCAGTTCTTGCAGAGACCTAAGTCAGGCCTTCTTAGGCAGGTTGACAGGGTAACCTTTCTTCCTATCGGTAGGTAACTTTCCTTCTTTCTAAACCCTTTGCAATAATGGTGTGCGCACAACTGCGGTGGTCTCTGGGTGCGTTTTCAATGCTTCGAGGCGGAGAGGATCCCGTCTAGTCCTGCTGCCTTCCCGGCAGGCATTCGGTAGCTTGATTGCATTTAGGATTTCTGCTTTCTTTGTAAGGTTGGTGTCCACTGGCAGTTCCGTGCGTGCTGTTGGTGGTATTTCTGGCCGAGGTGCAGGTGATAGTCTATTCAAGAGTCCTTTAAAGTAATCAGCCCACTGTTTTATTTGTTTCTCCTTCGCATTCAGGTTCCCTTGAGTATTTTTTATTTATTATTAATTTTTATTTTATTATAGCTTGATTCCACACAGTATTTTGGTACAAGTATAGAATTTCCAGCATGTAATATCGGTACCCCAGATTTAACAGGTGTACGTTGGCCGAGGATCGAATCCCAGACCGTGTGCATGGACGGCGAGTATCCTAACCGCTGTGCCACCGACGCATCACCTGGACTGATCGCTTTCCGGATAGAGACCTGTTTATCAGACATAATCTGTGGCCTGCGGCTTCTTCTGGTTCAGTTGCTAGTGTGTTATAGAATTGTCTTTTGTCTTTCCTAGCACTCTTCTTCACTTCTTCATTCACTGCAGTGTGAATTGAACTCAGCTTCTCCTTCTGTTGCCCATTTTTGCATTGAGTCATATCTAGTTATTCCAATTCGTTTATGAAGATTTCTCATGGGCATTTGATAAACACAGTCGGATTGTTTAGTTTGGGTACCTGGAAACATCATACGGTTATTACTACTGTATGTTTATGTATTATATCTAATAAAATTTGTTTGAACACTGGGTAGTAATGAACCAGCGTTATGCGTCTAGTCCTTTGTTTGGTATAGACTGAATTCTATTGGAGTTCACTGTGATGGTGAACTACCTAGCATAATGGCCACATTGCAAAATTGACTGGTAAAATTCAGTCTGAACCCAGACAAAGCACTAGACGCATAACTGTCGTCACTTACTATCTAGTGTTCAGTCAAATTATCCAATTCAGTAGTCCTACAGGAGGTCAATCGCAAACCCAAATAGCTCAGTGGTAAAGTCTCTGACTGCAGCACTGGGTAACAGTTATTCGAATCTAAGAGAGAAGACAGGAGTTCGTTTAAGTTTGCAGATACGCTTCACTGATGGGTGCTAACAAGCACGAAACCTACGTCTAAGGCTTCCTGTCGACTGCCTCCGACCATCTTATAACTTCAAATGAAGTTGCATTCGAACAGTTATAACCAGAATCATATATATATTTAATGATTTCATATTTTTCGTATGAATTCTGCAGCCAATTTTACGTATATTGAAAAGGTATTAGGAGAGACTTATTGCGTAAAGAATAATCATACTACTAGTACTACTACCACTTGAATACATAAATTTCGATAAACACAACAACATTTTACACATTGACCCATTTATAGAAAGTGATGTGCTTAAACTAATGAACTTCAAGTTGACAATGATTAATTTATTTTTATATTTCACTATTTATATTTTCAATATTTATATTGAAATGCTTAATATTTACTATGAAACATACTCTGTTTTTCTTTTGATTACATAGGTTATCGTTATGTACAATTAGATATATATGAAACTAAAAACTCTATTCTATTCACTAAGTATATTAATAATTTAGTGAATATTGTAACACGTCATGGTGGTCATGTTATAGCGGGTACAACACAAGTAGGCCAATTTCTAGGCTTACGTAAAGCATTATTTCTATTTGTTGTTCAATGGAGAAGTCGTGAATCATTTTTTGAGTGTAACAAAGAAGGTGAGTAATAATTAGACAATGTTATTTTCTACTGCTTAAATAAAATTTCATTCCCAAAAATAAGATTATGTGAAAAAGGTGTTTGTTTTGTTATTACAGATACGCCAGTTTAGATTGTGTCAATTCAGTGTGCCACATTTATTGACTATACAGATAAAAGAAAGGAACGAAAGTGAAGTGCTCAAATAAACAAAAAGGATGTGGTAAAAAAGGGGGGTTATTTATGAATTACAAGGTGATGGAGAGCATCTAAACCCATATTACACTGACTGATTTTGTGTGGTTACTAAGAGGCCTCGAAGACCACAAAATAGTACCTTCCAAATTTCTTTAACGGCAGGCTCAATAAATTGCTATCGAATCTTTCAAAAAAACTGTCAAATAAATTTAATTTCAGTTAGCACGGAATTTAGTGATATATCGCTAGTGAGAAGTATTGAGAAGCCGTGACCAGTTAGTTGGGTCCATTGTGTCAAGGTGGAGGGGATGTTTATAGAAGGTATTAGTTGAGGGTAGCGCTGTACCAAGGATTGACAAAGTTGGGATCTACAAGTCACTGAATTCCGTCCCAGATGGTTGAATGGTCAGAGACCTGGGTCTCTTAACCTGGAACGTGGCAACTCGAACTGTTGCACTTCGGTGCCAAGTTCTATGTTGAATCCTTAACCTGAAGGTCTCAGGTTCGATCCTCGGTGAGCCTGTAAGTGTGCATTGATAAAGAGTCCCGAAATAGGATGAAACCACTGTCCAGTGCTCCTTAGTTTACGATGATCTCTTTAACTGATGTTGATTTGTTACGAAAATCTGACAATTTGAATTGATCCCAATCCCCACAAATCCCATAACCTAAATAAATTTAAGGCGCTTTAAGTAGATTCAGACTAAATTTACACATAGAAAGTGTAGAAATTCTAAAGAAGTTACACCTGTCTCAGTTATAATAGCTTAGGATTGATCAAGTGGAACTTGAATTGCGAATACTTATGACAAAGTTTATTTAAACAAACTAATAGCTGTTGAGGAAGATGTTAGGTTAGCAGCAACTTCTCAATGAAGCCTTTGAAGTGAAGGTAGGAGTACCAAAAGGCTGCTGACCATCACTTGATGATAGTCTTAATTGTGGTGGATTTGATTTTGTGGCAGATTGTGGGGAGATAGATGATAGGCACACGTCAGAGTGACAAAAATGCCCTAAACATATGGAAACCTCATCTGAATTTTCAACATCGATGTTAATTCAGTGCTTCTATATGGTCCAGGCACTTAGCATACGCGTCATCAGAAGGATTTCCAACAGACTACAGAATTTCAGCAACAGCTGTCTCCAACCCACAATGAAGACCAGAAGGCCGGCAACGAGAAATTCTGGTGGCAAGCGAAACAACTAAAGACCTATTACCCATCAAATATGCAGATGTGAATGGAAATGGATTTCGTATACACCGAGAAGATTATTGAGTGAAATCGCATCACGCCGTCAAGTGGAGTCCGTATGGGAAACGATGAGCTGGATTTTTGTCTGAAGGTGATATAGAGGTGATCGTGTGGGGAGGAAATGAAAGTCTATGGACACCGTTGCAGCCAGCCTGATATCGCTTCAAAGACCAGAGTGAAGTGGTCATGTGCTGCGAAAGCCCTATATTCTGCCAGGAAACCAAGAGACAAATAATAACAACAGTAATAACAGTAGCAACAGCAAAGTACTACGAATTGAGAGAGATAGTGCTGGTAATAAATGTATATATTACCGGCTGTATGAAGCATATTACTCCTGTCTTAATATCCCAGTCCTCCTCTCTCTTAATCAAATACTCTATCATTCCTATCACTACTCACAATGATGGTTTTCAGTAGTTCAGGTGTTTCTGAACCAGTTCTACCCAAGTCTTTCTTGTACATTATGACATACAGTACTTTCAAATTGGTATGCCCAAATGTACAAGGTTCACCACACTGTTTGAACACTTTTGGTGTAATTTAATTCATCAGACATGAATAAGCTTCCAGATACATACAGATAAAAAACACTACAAGTACATAAAATTTACTAAAAACACTAAACTGGATTATGTTGTTGAAAGGGGTATGTGAAAATCCCTATTTCTCGTTGATAACATGAAAGGATCACTTGACAAGTACGTTCTAACATGTACTCTATTTGAAATGTTACTAAAAGGATCAGTTCTTAGAGACGTGTAGTATTATTGTTTGAATTTTGCCTGGAGTGGTAGAAGTTTGTGTTGGTATTTCAGTGGTATGATGCTTGCCATCTACACACCTGGTCAGGTTTGGATTACTAAATGACGAATTCCTAAACGTCACCTTTTTTACTGCTAATAGGCAGTAAACCAGGAAAAGGGAAAAGGTTAAGCTCGGAATTAGCAATTTCACACAGTAAAAAAAGGTTAATACCACCTCTAGTGAAACTGTAAATCTCAAGGCTTGAAGTCCATTATTCCAACTAGAACTCCAGAGAATGAAATAATAATGATAACTATAGATTGTACTAAAAGTATAAATCAAGAAACAACTGCTGATCAATAGATGATTCACAGTATATGTAAAAACAACTACTGTCATTTCGACTAGAATGAAAGGATACCTTTTGCGTAAATCTTTCTTGGACAGCGGATGACTTATTTTGTCCACCTCAACCAAAACCTGAACCAGTAGATGATTCAAATATTATGACATACTATCATGATGATTGTATTAATATTTCAACACAAAGAAATGAATGTCATGAGTGTAAACATCCTAAAAAAGGTGAGATTGTTTTTTTTTTGTAAAGCATTTCATTTATGTTACTAATTAACAATTAGACATTCTAAGATTAACCAAACTGTCTTGTCTCCCTTTTCTGTGTAATCCTAATACTGAATGTTAAGGAGAATAGAATGGTAAGGTAGTCGGTGACGTTGTTAAATGATAGCTAAGAAAGTAATCAAATATATCTATGATAAATGGATAAAACAGAATCTTAAAGATTCTTTTTACCCCTCAAATTGTTTTGTTTATTCATTTTCTTAATTGAAAATCACTCACTATTATTTAATTCTGTGGTCACCAATGTTGTATTGGTTATATGTCACAGATTTTTAAATGATAATAGATTACCAGATATTGCATAGTATATTATGATTTAAATTCCTACTATTGGTCTCTGAGTTTGAGTTTTTCAGTATTTAACGTTTTCAACATCAGTCAAATTAACATCTTCTTAACGGTTCATCTGAGTTACATTTTAGCTGACGTAGTAATAGGTCTTTAACTGTTGATTTGAACCAAGTATTGGAATGTAGACTGCTTAATTCTAAGAACTAATCACTAGAGACTGTTGGTAACATAGCTGAAAGGTTATTCTGAGTGGCTCCAGTGCATTTACTCTTTATGAATGACTGACTGGCTTGGTTTTGAAAGTAGAAGTTATCAAATAATTGTGTCAGTTCAAGTTGCCAAACTCTATTTAGTACACAAAGTTAGGGAAAAATGAAAAAATCCCGAAGAATTATACATAGTAAAAATGCAAGGCCGAAAGAATAGTAATATGGGGATTTGATGGGAATGGAATATTACACAGAGCAAACGCATATACTCCACTGAGGATGATTTTGAGTTGTATCGCCAGCAGTCCGCAGCCATTGGTTTTTAGCTTCTCGAGAACCCAGAATAAGCAGTGTACACCTCCCTGTGTGACTCGAACCAACTGTCAAAGCCTTCATGGACTGGTTCCAGATTTTGATCTATTCACCCCAACTCTTTTTCAACCTAATCCAATGTCAGCTAGCAGTGCTGAAGGAGGATGGTGGTGGCATGGCATGCGTAGCATGTGTCCTAGTCATCTAAGTCAATATGGCTTCACAACCTCATTGACTGACTTATCTTCTTTGATGAACACTTTTAACCTAGTTGCCGCTCACCGTATCATACTGCTTAACATGGGAAACAGGATGTAAACATCTATGGTCAGAGACAGCTAACCTCTTCAGTTGTTCCATTTTAAATAACGTCTTACAGCGGTATAAATAATATGACAGAGGCAACTGCCTCGCAGTACGCATGTCCTTTGACCGATATCATATCTACGTCAGAGGTGACACAAGTTGGCAAATCCTACAAGGGACATTTGTATCTTTGGTGAAATGTCATCAGCAGTCAGTTCATTAAGGTTTATGCAGCTTCCTAAATAAGTGAAATGGTCGACACCTTCGACCACTTCACTCCATTTTCAAATTAAGAGTCTGTGCAGACCTGTCTTGTCTTTTCGTCTTACATGTGATAGGGGCGAATGGCATGCCAAAAATACTAAGATTTATGCTCAAAGTGCTCAGAAGACTCTGCATTTTGCCATCATCTTCACCTAGACTGAGTCCTAGGCAAGTGCCTTGATTAGCGCTATACACTTTCTTAGCTCTGGCTTCATGGCCAAATATTTTAGCAGCATTTCTGGATTAAAGGAATCAGATCCCGCCTTCAGGTCAAGAAAATAACAAATGTTGGACACTGGTAAGTATTCTTATTTCCCGAAATGTCTTCGAAGGTGAAGACATGATCACTACACTCTCTTCCTACCCTAAAACCCGACTGCTTCTCACGCGTTTATTTCTCAGCACACGATTATCGAACTCCCGGATACATAAGATTATCAGCGTTACACTTTTGTGCAACATTACGTGTTGAAAATTCCCTTCAGTTCAGATCAAAAGGTGATAAGACTTTTTAAAGATGATCGACTGTTTTATTTCTATTTGAACCCTAATTATCAGGTTCATGTTTTGAGGTTTTACAAGAAGTATTTGATTTCAAAGACATTTTAATTTATCACTTAGTAATATGGCACAGTAGTAGAATGCTCACCAATGACGCATGTGGTCCGGGCTTCGATCCCCGGCTGATGCACTCCTTTACCTCGCTAAGCCAGTAATCAGACTGATAAAAGAGGGGAGGTTGGGCGTGAGGCTAGTAGCCCCATCTCTCAAAAAATAAACATCACTGTTACCGAAACTTCAAGCCTCTAGCTTGAAGCCTTATGTTCCACTGGGAATGTACAGGAATAAAAAAGAATACAGCTTAATTCGTGTGTATTTATGTTTCCCTTAGCATATGGAAGTAAGTTGTTATGCATTCTATTAAGGAAACTTCATCATGTCGGCTAATACAGTTAACCTAGGTGAACCGAGTAAACATTTTATTTCTGTCCTCTTGAATGTAGAGCTTTCAGTAACATTCTGGTTATGATATTCGACATCATCCGATAGTTGGTCAAGTGACATCACACACGATAAACAAAATATCACGGAATATCTTATCTTAAACTATTTGATTTCTGAAAATAATTCTAATAATAATAGTTTTATTCTAGACAGTATTTATATAAAGTACAGAATTTTCAGTGGAGTTTATTGCAAGATATTTTCTCCTCGTAAAGGATCTTTAGATAAAATATTAATTGACAGTAGATCGTGTGACATAATGCTGTCTGATCTGAAGCTCAAACCAAACCATTATGATATTTCTTCTTTGTGTCCTTCGATAAATGTATGGCATTTAATGTGGAGCCAGGCGTAAAAGGTTTAGGGGTACATTCTGAGACCTAAGGACATAGCTGAGAACAGTAATCTCACGTAGTGGGATACACTGCCACTTATTCTTATGCTTTTCTCAAGTTTAGTAGAAACTTGCTTGTCAGCAGGTTGTAAACACTTTAAATACTCGCGAGAGTAAATAATATAATTTATTATTATTGTTTCCTTTAATTCCTAGTGGAACATAGGGCTTCAGCCGCATGTCTCCATTGCGTTCGGTTCTCTGCCAACGTTTTCACCTGGTTCCACGTCTGCCCACATGCTTTCATCTCCTCTTCACATCACATCCTCCATGTCACCCTCGCTCTGAAGACCAACTCGCCGCTTCCCATTCAGTTGGGTTCCACTCGAGCGATGGCCTGTCGTGTGATCTCACTTGATGGTTTGTTTTCTCAGAGTATGGCCAATCCACTTCCATTTCTTCCTGCATTAGAGGTCATATTTTAATCGATTAAAACAAAGTCAGTAGGAGACATTATATACAATATAGTCATGGAGGTTTTTGGTAGCCGAAGTTTTGAATAGGCTGTCGAAGATTAATATATTTACAAATCTCGCTTTATATACTTTTCATCTTTGCTTAAATCAGAAATTTGTCTGCTTTTTTTCGAAAAATTACAACTGCAGCATAGAGTTACGTAGGTGAATATTTATTCGATCATTTGCAATAATTTCATTCTTTTATTACTTTTTTTGTTATTGTCTGTTTCGTATTTAGTTACACCTTTACAAAGAGAGTCTGGTGCATCGTGCAGTTCACGTTTACTTTTTGAACTTGATACACAATACTTTAATTGGTGTTAAAGAAAGACAAACGCTTTGAGAATGTGAAAAACTATTTTATGAATAAAGACGAATATAACTACAATGCTAAATTAAGCCACTTTTTCAACTCAGATTCCCTTCTCTGTTCATGAAAGTTTTATTTTAAAATATATATAAATCACATTTTGACAGAAGTGATAAAAAAACAATGAAAACATTTCCAATGATGAGTTGGACAAGTATTTCAACATACCTTACTATCCAATTTTTATTTTTCCAAATGTTTAAAAAGTATTCAACTTTCTTTTTCACTTTTTATTTCATTATCGAATTTCTAAACACAATATATTAGAAACAATAAAAGAGAAAATATACTCGACAAACAAATGCATACACTTGACCATTGTAAATGTATGTAATGCATATTATATATGAAAGGTTTATATAAACTGAAATGAAAGAGATTTTATTTCACCTATTTGCTTTCAAAAAATTAAAATTAAATAAATAAAATATTTAATTTGTTCTGTTATTGATAATAATATCAATATTTATGAATCCAATTTAGACCACGAGAAATATACAAAAACCAGGGACTTTTCAACAAGACGCACACATGACTTCATCAGGGATCGGACACAGGACCCTCAGGTTGAAGCGGAGCCGTTTACCTTCCTGACACTTCAATAGAATCCAATAGGTCATCATTTGTTGCTTCTGTCAATTCTTGACATTTGTCGGGTTACTTCCAGTCATTGTCTTTCCTCATGAGCAACATGATAAACATGGCTGGTCACGACTTCTTAATAGAAATCCAAGCAACTTACCCTTTAAGTCAGTCGTTAGTGAGAATTAGATGCTTTTCAAGTTTTATGTTACATCATGGGCTGACATTTGTCTTGGGTTAAATCTTCGGTGGTGACGTGCTCTCTCAACAGCTGTCCAGTACACCCTATTTTTTGGTTGTTCTCTAAAGGATGTCAGTTCATGATGTAACGTGAAATTAATCAGAATTCTGTCAAGCAACACTTGGAAAACAATAGTGAAAGTGAATGATTCCTAAAGCATAAGTAAAATTCAACTTGTTAAGAGAAGAATGAAAGATTTTCTTTTAACGAGAAATTACAAAGTAAGAAGATTTTTAACCTGACAGGAAATAAACTTTGTATTTTCAGTCGGTCGGTTGGTCGGTTTTCGAAATAGAACTTTGCACATATGTGCGGCAGTTCAAGTCGCCACACTCCATGTAGCACACAAAGCAAGAGGAGAAATGCATATTAGAGACAGTAAATAGAGGTGTGAGACAAAGGTATAGTAATAACGGAGAACAAAACAGTTTAACTGGAAATCATAAGTCACAAGGAGTGGATGCATCTGCGCCACTGAGAACGATTTTAAGCCATTTCACCAATTGTTCTCAACCATTGGTTTTTACCGTCCCGAGGACCCCAACCAGCCTAGAAGTCTACATCTTCCTACGTGGCACAGACTAACTGTTGTAGATTTCATTGACTGGTGCCATGTTTTCGTTTGACCGCCGCTAGCTCTTTTCCAGCCTGACCCTATATCAGCTAACATTGCCCGCCGAGGAAGGCGATGACTAGACATGCGTAACACATGTCCTAACCATCTCAGTCGATGTAATTTCACAGTTTCGTCGACTGATTTCCCCGCCTTACCTAGAACTCGACGCCTAACCTCAATATTGTATTTTCAGTAGCAGTCATGATGTTTTTACGGGGTATTGCTGCCCAACCATCTACCCTATTTTTCTGGAATCGCAAATGGCTAGACGATATTTAGGCTGAAAAAATTACATTTGTATAAATGTCACTCATATTGAAAAAAAATAATTCCAGAGTTTAATTCAGCAAAGTGTATGGAACTTCATGAAGGAAGTATATGTATATAGTTGTATTCTCTGAGCTGGATGATTTATAAATAATCATGTAGACTACGTGTGTGATTAGTTCGTTCAAAATATGTTAAACAAATACATTACGCTATTCATATAAATTACGTTTTCATATTGTCTTATTGGAATTCACTCATGTCACTGTTATTTCAGTGGAATGGTTCATCAGTTACTGGTTTGGTCACGATCTGACATCAGTTAGAGAACCATTAGAAAACCAGGAAGTGCTGGACTACTTTTGGAATTGGTGGGTCATCAGACTGAGTCCCACTGGCTGAATGGTTCATGAGTTCTCCCTGAAACAGGAAGGTCCTGGGTTCGAACTCCGGTGGGTATGTACTTGGACGAAATAGCTATCCAGTACTCTTTGGTTCTCCACTGGTTCTCTGAATGATGTCAGCTCTTGATGAAACCCGTAAGTGATCAAATCCCTGCAAAGTAACACTTGATAATCATCATTTATTATTGTAACAGCCAAGATGTAGTTACTACTTGAAAATTGAAAAAAAACCTAAGTCGTAAACTTGTCAAGGCATATTATAGCCTTGTTTATTTTGCCTACATTACTATTCACCCTGAAGGATAAATTTATAAAAGCGTCGTTTCAAAGAGTCTGTTTCCACACTATTTATAGTACGATCTACTTTTTTCCGCCTAGTTTAAACGTTTGTTATTTGTTATGATTACTAAGAAGACTGTACACTAGCTGAATGTGAAAAAAGATTTGAGTAGTTTCAGGATTAAAATTAGAAGACAATAAGTCTCTGATTTCTAGCCTAACGTGAGGAGCTAGATGAACCAAATTATCATCGAATATTAATTTCACTGTGAATATCGATTATAACTCAATTACGGAGTAGGGATTTTTTTATGCAGTAAGATGAGATCTACTCTCATTGTTTGAAGACTAATTGTCTGGGAATTTCGATGTGATACTTACTGTAGTTGGTTTCTGTTAGGACGGACAACCTATTGTTGTTAGTCGTGAGGTCATGATTGATGAATGCATTGACGTGCTAGCCTGACTGGAAAGCTTTTGACTGGTTTATGTATCGCTTAAATTCTCGAGGATTTGTAAATGATATATACCCTGTATTTTGAATACTAAAATGTCATTATTATCATTGTTGACACGGTCAAATTTGACTTTTATGTCTATTTCAGTGTAGATAGAAGTTTCAGGTGGTAATTCAGACTGAATTCTGTCAGTCAGCAGGTTACTAATAAGTTGCCTATCAATTAATGCATGGCACAGTGGTTATGACTCTCGCTGACCATGCATATGGTCCGGGGTTCAATCCCCTGCCGACGCACACCCGATATCAATGGTCGGCCTGCAAAATTGGGGCTACTGATATCACATGCTGAAAATTCGATACCTGTACCAAAAAATACGGTGTGGAATCAAGCTGTAACCAAAAAAATAATAAATGTTAATTTTTCAAAATGTCTCATCCACTTTTCATCCCACTTGTATGTGTTCATTTCGTCTTACTGTATAACAGTACCTATTAGCTGAAAATCACTGGGGCAGTTCAGCTCTCGCTTTTCTTATATTTGAATGTTTAACTATAATCTACCTTTTCTTGACTACGGTAATGAGTGACCTAGGTCCAAATCTCTAGAGGAAAATCGAAATAGTAGATAGGCCTTGGTGATGAGTACCAAAAAGCGTTAAATCTAGTTTCAAAACTATTTGCAAATTGCTTTCAATCATCAAACGTCTATTCAAAATTCAGCGTAGTGTCTGTTCATCTAAGCTGTTAACTACATTGCTCACTTGGCTGACAGAATTCACTAAGTAATAAGGTATACATGTATGCCATTGGGTATTCCATTTATCGTCACTGTTCGTTCTTTCGTTCAACTTCAGCCTCACATCTTCATTTCTCTCTCCTATCTTACATTACTTTCAGATGGCCCAATGACTGCCAATTCGGCCTTCAACTCACTCACTCACTCACTCCCAACGCGTTATTTCTCATTCCGCAACCACTAGAGGGTCTGCCTGACGTGTGACGTCATTTGCAGTTCTCAGCACATATCCATTCACTTCTGCACATTTATCAGACCAGCCATAGGTCCTTGGTTTGCTACGCTGCCTCCAAAACTTCTTTGTTGTTTGCTTACCTTTTCTGCAAGATCATATGATATTAACTATGGAACTAGAAAAGGCAGCTGGCTGTTGATGAAACAGTCTGAAACCATTTGTTAAAGAGGCTTTCGGTGACGCACACAACAAGTCTCTGAGCCATGCAGAAGTAATGACTGACTTGACGTTAGTGCTAGAATTTCATACCTTTTCCCTTGTACTATGTACTGTGTGTATATCTACACAGTGCATTTCAGATGAATAAAAAGCTAAATTTGTTATACATTTGGTCCCCTTGAGAAATTTCGATAATGAAAGGAAGACGAAATTTGCTGTATAAAATGATATCATTCTATTTCACAGGTTCTCATCAGCTGCAGACTACCTGAAATTACAATGGTCATATAGATGATAATGACATACTTTAATGTTTGAGTGGTAGTAGAGAAGAGATACTATAAAAGTGATGCATCCAAAATGTAAGCATTACAATTTTTAGTTTAAGTTTTCATCATCAATTTATACGCTTTCAAAGTTGAAAAGAGGAGGGGAGAGGTGAGACAGAAAACAGGAAAAATTAATCAACAGTGTTCACCAAACAAGGTTGAAGAAGAATTAGATTTCGTCGAGAAATGCCTTAAGGGGTTTACACAAAAGTAAACCAGAGAAAAAGATAAGAAACAAAAACACCCAACTGTAAAAAAGAAGAAAGTGTTTATTTGTCTCCCACTCAAAGAAGATGCAGTGTCACAAAAGATTGACAAAAGACTGAAAGGTGAAATAAAAAAAAGCTTCCCGGCAGCAAAACTCATATCATTCTACAGCACCACTTCTTCTATAAGCCACTCAAAACTGGATAAATACCCTGCTGATGTCACCTCCAACTGCGTTTATGAATTTACGTGCACTTGAGGGAGCAAGTACATTGGAAGGACAGAAAGAAGGGCTTCTATCCGGTTTTCTGAACATATTCCAAGAAATCTGTGCCTGAAAGGAAGCAAATATTCTCAGAATGGAATTACCAGACATATTGTTGCTACCGGACATCTCGTAGAGAGTTCTAAGTCCTTCAAAATATTAAATAGACAAAGGACAGCAAATTTACTACGATTTGCTGAAGCAGTCGCAAACAAACGATTTAAACGAGACTTATGCATACAGAAAGAGAGTGTGATTAACCTCTCACTCCCTTGGTAACTGAGCTTTGGTTTTGATTACATTAATTAGTCATCGAATTCAGTGATCTCAACTCACTGAACAAATCTTAATCTCATAAACTGTAACCACATTTTTGGAGTTGCTATGTGAACCTACAAGCTAATGCTGTTTCTGTTATTCAATTTTTCTGTTTTCTGTCTTACCCCTCTCCCCTCTTTTCAACTTTAACAGCGTCTAAATTGATGATGAAAACTTAAACTAAAAATTGTAATGCGTTCATTTTTGGATGCAT